GGCTCAGAGGGGATCTGATTAATATGGATAAGTTCAGGAAGGGAGAATGCAGGGAGGAAGGGGACAGGCTGTTCTCACTGGTGGCCAGCGATAGGACGAGGGGTAATGGCCACAAGCTGAAACACAAGAAGTTCCGTCTCCAGGTGAGGAGCAACTTCTTYACTGTTAGGGTGACAGAGCAGTGGAACAGGCTGCCCAGGGAGGTTGTGGAGTCTCCTACTCTGGAGGTCTTCAAAACCCGCCTGGATGCCACCCTGTGCCACAYGCTCTAGGTGTGCCTGCTTGAGCAGGAAGGTTGGACTAGATGATCTGTAGAGSTCCCTTCCAACCTTAAACATTCTGTGAATCTGTGAATTCTGTGAATCTAATGCATCTATTAACACAGTCTGCACACYAGCAAACTATTTGAAGGCTGTATTTGAATAGCAGCCTATAAACAAATGCAACAGCTTTGAAAGTTGCTATGCTGTTTTTCTAAGCTGCACTGCACTTCTCAAGAGCTTAAGAGAAATCAAATAAATAGCTATAAAATCCTATTAGGAATAATAACCTGTAAACAGAGAAAGGCTGTTAAGTATTTTTCAGATAGGTTTTCATGTGTGTTATATATTTTAAAAATGCATTGGACAGCTACTGTAAAACAGCTATAAAAGACATGTTGACAACCTTGATTAGCTCTTAAAACTGTCTGATTATCCATAGCCTGTTTCATGAATGCAGGGTAAGATCACCTCTTTTTGCACTAACAGAATATAAAGACTTGTAACCTCAATATTTTGCAAAGGAAAGCATATTTATGATGTTATTATGTCTCTCTCTTTGCAAGAAAGTGCACACATCCACAATATCAGCTACTTAATCTGTAACACAGCTGAAATTCTTTTTAATATGATCTCAAACTTACAGAGAAGTGCTGTAACAATTCATCTTTTTCCTCTTCAATGAAGCCTCCAACTGTCAGTGCTTTGGGACGATGATCGACCACCATGTGATTCAACATGCCTCTTCCTCTCCCACCACGACCCCATCCTCGTCCTCTACCTTGGACAGGCATCGCCTTTCCTCGACCAACAGGCAAGATGCCTAAACGCGCGGCCTGTTCAGAAGAAGTCAAATGAGTTAAATATCAATCCTCTCAGCAAAAACACAGCCTAAATATAAAAGCATCAATCCAAACAAATTCACCTCTACTTGTAACTGATTTAGCTTTTTTCGCAGTTCAGTTGTGTCTTCTCCAGAGGAGAGTCTTTTATGAAAATCCAGTTCTGCATCTAAAAGTTCCTTTTGTGCCTTAAAGAAAAAGATGTACAGATAGAAAAGAGGTGTAAAAGCTGAACATTAAGGTATGCTTTTAATGTATTCCAATTATTAAGCAATAAATTTGTGCAAATTACATTGCTAAATCACGATAACATACTCATATTTTTCTTTAAATTCAATTGACCATGCTTCTATTTATTTAAAGTCCCTCCTTATCAAAAAACAAAATCCAGTTCTGATTTGAAATATCCAGATTTCTCTGCTTTAGAACTGTAATAGGAACCTGAATGATCTATATGGAAAGTTAAGTCACCTGAGTTCCTTAAACTGTTACTTGCTTATCCATAGTTATCACACTCGAAGTACTGTTTGGGAATATATTTTGACCTGAAGTTGCTACATTCTTAGGACGTAACATTAGAAAAAGGTCCASAAACCAGACAGGTTAGTGTCTTGCACAGTAAATACCTCTGTCTTGGACTTTAATTTTGATGGAGTAGAGGATGCAGACGACGTTTTTAATTCATCCTTTAACTGAGATATTTTTCCTGCTAGTTCTTTCAAGGTCTTCATTATTTCTGCTCTCTCTTCTGGTTTCATGGCCTTATTCTTCTCTAGTTTGGATATCAACATCTGTGTATTAGAAAAAGAGCAGGAACATAAAATTATAGCAAAAATATCACTGAACAGATATATCTACAAAAAATCAGGATGTATATGCTAGAACAAATTCTAGGCCTACCTTCTGGCATTCTATTTGTTTTTCTAACATCTCTTGCTTCTTTTTCCTCATGTCTTGTTGGAGTTTCATTGCCTCCTATACGAGGAGAAAATTCATTAAAACAGAAAACAAATTCATAATTAAAAAGTACACATTTGAATATATTATACTGCACTAAAATTTAAAACAACATTTGTTTTCATCATGTAGAAGCTGCATAAAGCAGCAGACTGCAGTAGACATGCAGACCATTTTTTGTCACTATTTAATACAGAGAAGAGGTCAGTAAAAAGTAAAATAGCATATTACATGTGCATATATGTTATATTTTCTTATTCAAACTATACCAATCAAGTCCATAACAGCAATAACTAGACTGCATAAGTTAGATCTGACATGGAAAACAGTAAAAAGCTGCCACTTGCAGCTGTGATATACTTTATTGAACTACTGAAGAAACATATCCTACATTAGCACTGCATTGTCCTACACTGTAGGCATCTCATACCTATAGAGACAAACATTAAAAAATGTCCAAATACTATCTTTGCAAGACAGTTTTTAGGATAGTTACAGGTCTATGTAGACCAAGGGGAGAGAGCTACATGGGAATACTTGAGGTTGCCTAAYCAATCCTTTCCTTATAAGGTACTTAGACTGTTACGCTGTTTGTCAAACAACATATGTAGTCAAGCACCTGTTTTTTTTTAAGAGCCTCTTGCACATCATGAGGTTTAGACCCTGCACCAGGCTTCATAGATGTTTTTAAGTTTGAAGAACTGTAAACCATTTTTGAGTGGGTGGTAGAAGTAGGAAATGACTGAAATAGAAGAAATAAATATGTAACAGTTTAACATGAACACAATATATCACCAACAACTTTTAGAGTACTGTATTTAAACATGCACACATATTTCCCGATTTGTTTGATGAGGAAAAGAAAATGATGAATTAGAACACGTATGAAGCATTAGTCTGGCAGTCAAACTGCTCAGAAGCAACAAGCTTAAGCATTTGTTAAAAAGGATTTTGCAAGAGATCCAAAATTCTCCCTGGATCCTGATACCCACTAGGAGTACCGCTGAAGCYGATTTTCTGCTTCTGAATTCTAYTCAGCTTGATAGCAACAGTCTAATATCAYACTTCCCAATCAAACATTTTCAAAAGAAATAAGGCGGTAACAGTAACAACTCTTCCAAATACACACATGCTTTCTCATAAAGGAATATTTTTGTTGTTAGAAGGCATGCTGCACCATGATATCAGCACAAATCAAACTACAGTAGTTTGAACTCTATGCAGAAGCATTTCATAAGCTGTCAGTAACATTTTTAAAGCACTGAATAAATTCAAAAAAATCACTAGTAGGAGAAACTATGGGATTCAGAGAGCTGTCATCATATATAAACTGTCAAATTTGTTAAAAATGAAGCACTGGCCCCTCTTCAAATCATGCTGCTTGAAACAGTGATAATTTGTTTCTGAAGTAGTCATTGCTATTTTGTTTTAGTAGCTGATGAGAGCAGGTAGTGACCAATCACAGTCACACAAACATTAATGAAAATAAACAAAACCAATTGGAGAAAGAATTGGCAAGTGCTATTTACTAGCTTCTTCCTATTGCAAACAGGTCAAAGCTTGAAGTAAATGTATGACCATTGTTGATTTTTTTTTTTTTTTTTTTTTTTAAACACACATACCTGGGAATCCTCTGCTACAGCCCCAGCCTGGCTTAAGTCAGGCTGGTTTCCACCTGTTGCTCCAAGGCGCCGTTTCATTGGGACTTTATTAAGGACATAAGCACCAGATGCCATCGGCTTACTCATCACCTATGTATCAATTGATATTAAAAGGAAAAGACTGTATACTCTGCATTTTAAGAAAASCAGTCACTCAAGCGCCGATAATGTTCTATGCGCTAATTTAAAGAAGAAAGCCATCCCACTGGGAATGACAGCACAGTACCTTTGACATATTGCTATGCACAGTTACAGCTGGAGCTGARGCCAGGCCTTGCTGCTGAAGGTGAAGCTGGTGATGAAGAGGCTGTGAGGGTGACGGCTGCTGTTGCTGCTGCAGCAATGGGGGCTGCTGTTCATTTTCTCTGTGCCACAGTACCCTTATAAATCGATTATTCAAAACTGCCTTTGTGCTGGAAATGGCCTTCCTAGCCTCATCATTAGTTAAGTACTGAATTAAAGCAGCTTCAGGATCATTCTGGAAAGCAACCTAGAACACAAGTTTATTGAAATACATTATTTCAAGACAGACCTTTAACAAACCAACCTACAAATAAGCTGCCATGAGAAGGAGTTAGATATTCAATGCTATTAACAGCTTAACATAAAGCTGACACATTCTATGTTACTAAAGTCAAATCCATTTAGCAAGTTTTACATTAATTTCAGTGAAGTATATATGCTGTAAAAACCTAAGGATGTTCCATGCAAAGATTCAGCATATTCTCCAGGAAGCATCATCTAATTATCATGACTACTTTTCTCTAAAACTAATCACCGCACATATAAAAACATATATGGGACATCCTAGTACAATACAATTGAGGTACCATCTCTAAAAACAGTATCATTTGTGGTAAGACAAAGTTGTGGGCTCAAGGAACAGGGAGGTTTCACAGATGCCCTCCAAATTCAGTCCCTTCACCAAGAGGTCGCTCACTCCTCTAACAAATAAGTGGAAATCAAATACACTTTAGCTATATAACTATTCACGTTCTGATTACATAGCTCTTTTCTACCTTCTATAACACAGGCGGCATCACCAGAGTGGAAACACTTTATGGTACAAAGTGYAGTAAAGTAGTAAACTGATGCATAAGACTCCTGTAGTATCTCTGACAAAATTCTAATTAAGAAATACTGATCATAATGCAAGACAGAAATTGTTAGATCTCTTAAGAAAACAAAACAACCACCCAAGCTGCTTAGTGACCTGACGTGTTTTAGACATACTGTTAACCCTGCAAGACTGCCAAGTTTAACAAGAAGTCACAAAGGCAGAAGTGAACAAATGTTTTTTACAGAATGAAGATGATAATACAGAGTGGACCAAGGAAATATTGCTTTAGATTTGGTTACCTACTGCCTTGTCCCACAYAGCTTCTGCTAATAACAACAACATAAATTAGTCAGGACAGTACCTAAGGTTTCAAAGGAAATGGCAATTTTCATATCAATATGTGGGTTTCTTTTTACCTGAATGTTTACAATAGTTCCAAATTTACTGAAATGTTCATTAAGCTGTGTAATGTTGTTTAATTCTGGTGGAATTTTTCGAACTTCTAACTTTGTGTTAGTATATTGATTCTTCTTCAAAAATCCTGGCTTATTCTGGCTGTTATTGGCTTGCCTAGAAGAAAAAAAAATGACAGTAAGATAACTCAGAGAGACTTACGTATGTCCAAGTCAGTAGTTATCATGTACACTCATTTTCTCGAAAACAGATTAAATTCTAGAGAGTAACACAAAAAGAGATTTCCCTCCCACTAGTTCCTATTTTTTGGACAAAATAAACAACAATAAATACATTCCTATTAGTCAAACGCAGTTTTTAAATTCTTACTTTCCCATCCATGGCTTCTTTAATGACGGACATTCCATACTACTTGGAGATCTTTTCCTGCTGTCTGGTTCAAGCACGACTCTGGTCACRTTGCTGCTATTATTTGTAATGGGAATGGGAGGTTCAGTCTGGATGATAATGTTGGCAGCTACAGAAAAGGACGGAGACCCATGTTATTTACCACACCTCAATGCAGACATCCAAAAAAAAAACCACTTGAGTTTAAACAGTAAAATAATAGCAAGTTAAAAACAACAAAATAGGAAGATATTATCAAGTTGGTCAGCTTTGTTTACAAAATTGCTTTAGAGATCAAGAGATCACTTGTAGTCTAACCAATCCATCTGTGGACAGCAAACATTAGTCCACTCATTAAGGAATAGATTTTGAACATTACTTTTGTCTCTTAAAAGCTTGAATGATCTATAGTTATAAAGCTGAAGCATATAGATAATGAATTTCCAAGTATTTATTTACAACCTGTTTAAAATGATGCTATTGCAATTAGTCTCCTGTGTGGAAATATCCAACTCTTAAAAAGAAGTCTGAGTTGTAAATCTTTTTGCRGCTTTTATACGCACCAGAGCTCTGCTGATTACGCAATGAGGACAAAGACTGGGTTTTAATAAGGAAATAGCTTCAGTTTTATTTGGCTGGATGAATTTAGAATAACCCTTTCACACCACAGAYGAAGACAACAAAACAAGTTGTCTAAAGTGCCTTCACCACTCAGTTAGCCTTATACTTGGAATGAGTTCTCAGAATCTGAGGTCAAGTGATAAAAGTCCCAACCCTGCCTTTATGATGTTACARCTCATTAAGATGGAAAAGGCAATACTTTTCTGCAGTAATAGGTAACTATGTTCTGCATAGCCACCGGAAGAAAACACTGGAAAAAAAACCCTATCTGCTGAGTAAGAAATACTGCAGTGTAATAGAAAACACTGAATTTTAATTATTTTTCCTTTAAGGATGTTGGGTAAAGGCAGGAGGGAGAAAGAAAGCTAAGCTAGCAGAAAAAAAAAAAAAAAAAAAAAAAGAGAGTTTTAACTTGTTCTGACCTCTAAAGACATCTAATATATGTAGTCATTAAGAGAGTACACACACTTTCATCCAGTAAATGATCCAGAATCACCTGAAGCTAAGATTTCCACAGACTAGGAAAACTAGAATTCTAATCTGCAACGGTCATTTTAAGACAATAAAAGGCTAATGAAGTCAGACTATCAAGTCCAAACACCTGTCATGATAGTTTCCCTCATCACTRCCATCACAACAGCTGAGGCAAGTGCTGTGGATAATGACCTGTATGCCCCAGCTCCTAAATGTATCTGTAACAAAATAAAGCTGTCTTCAGACCATACTGCTTAAGGCCCTCTTTTTGCACTGCTTTGCTTTTCTGAGGTACCCAACAAGTGTCTTGGTAGGTTAAAAAGACAAATCAAAACAAAAATTAAAATCAACCACCCCCGTAGTATTGATTAAAAACAACTGCTTGCCTGAGAATAAGGCTGCTTTGAGTTTAATATAGTCATATTACCCCTTTTTTTTCATGTAGAGATGTCTGAAAATTGCTTTGAAATATTAGATCAATGAGCAAAATATGCTTTCAGCCTGAAAAAGTGAAAAATAAGTGTTGACGGTCTTGGACAAAAATAGTAACAGCAGTGACTAGAAACCCTTCCTACCTCTTGGATTTGTATCCATCTCCCCAGATGTTAGGCCAATTAGATTTGGACGCTGCGTTTGTGCTCTTGTAAAGAACTGTCGATACTGAGATCTACCAGCACTGGTAATACTAGGAGCTTCAGGGTTATAGCCATCTGGCTCATATGTATCTATAAAAAAAGGAGAGAAATGAAAGGATTTTTTCAAACGATTTTAAGACTCGTAGATTAATTTTCCCTTAAGGAAACACATGGATGTCCAAGAACCAGAAGTTGTTTTGGATGAAGAAAAGAGAAAAGAGGTTGTACAATTGATGTGTGCAGCCATTTAAATTCCTCAACTGAGCTTCGCGCCCAAGTCTATTTCGGCATAATCTCTTTTAATCTACTTCTTACTTTTTGTCAAAAGTGCACAGGTTACAAAAATGGAGCACTGCTGATGAACTACTGGAAAAATGAATGAGGCTTCTGTATGACAACTCTACTAATAACAGTGTTTCACAGGGTGCAACAAACAAACAAAAAGTTTGAACATCTACTCTTTAGGGGCYGAGATGCAAATAAATCTTTATTCTTTGTTGCCCAACAGTGTAGTTTCTTTCACAAAAAAAGACTTTTTTGRGAAGCAAGTGCTTAAATAATTTTGAAGGAAACTGAGAAATCAGTAATCTGACCAATACTTACCTATTAAATTTTCACAGTTCATTTGTGAGAGAGACTACCTGCCTAACTCTAGTAAGGTATTAATGATTATTTTAATCAAAAGAGGTAATGATGTGAAAACACAAGGTGACAGAATTGACTGATATTGTTCCTCCAGCCCAAAGGCCAAATTAAAGATGATTCATTCTTCCAAGCATAAGAAGGAAAAGCGATACAAGACGCAAAATGAATAAAACCTACGAAAAGCCTTCATAGAAGCACAATGCATACATCCTGGAACACCAATGGACACCTATACAGGGCGACTGCAGACTTGAGGCATTCTAAATGTCACCTTTGTTATTCCAAAGCAGCAGTGAAGACTCTCTACAATTAAAAATAGATCCCTCAGAACTGACTTCTCCTGCAGTTCAGTTTCTGCCAAGAACTTCCATTACCCTTGCCTGAGGTTCCTCCTCCAAGATTTTGCATAYGACTGCAAGAAGGCAATCAGCAATTGCTACTGAAACTACGTAAGAATATGACATGAAAACTCCAAAGTGGTTTTGGAGAACAGAATTATGCAGTGTCACTGAGGCCAAAGATGCACTGTGATTCGAGGCACATAGAATTGCCATTAAAAGAAGTCCTGAAGCTGAAAGAATCGGATAACAAGGCCTGATAGCGTTTGGCAACAACCAAACCACACTTCTAATAAGATTTTGAGTGGTGGAAATTCTGAAAAGCATGCAAGTCACAAAGAAAGTGACGGGTATTGCAAGCTAAATTGCCTTTGAATAAAATCTAAAGTGTTTATACAAAAGACACCAGACAGGGGTATTAAAACAAACAGAAAAACCCTTAAGATTAATTCACCTTATTCTGGTTAGGTAGATGTGGAAATGTTATCATTCCTTTCATTATCAAAATATAAAACGTTGTTGAATTTACACTGAACAAATTCCCCAGGTATTCCCTTCATGAAATATTACTTCTATGATATTTTAGCTGTGTAAGAAAGATGGACATGCCTACTGCAATCCATTCATATTAATCTAGTTAAGGAGCTAGAATAAGCCAATTCTGGAAAAAAAAATAGAAAGCACTAATGTATATGAAAAACATAAAAACTATTTTGACATGAAGCTAAGCAGAAATTTCCCCTTGCCCTCATTGGAAGCAGTAGCAGAGGAATAAAGACTGAGTRAAAGTAACAGATTTGCTGATACATTACTTGCCTACTGATGCTCTGCTAAAAGACTTCAAGATGAAGGGATGCCTTCCTTAATGTATGGCCATATTGCTTTGAGCATATTGTTTTAAGCATACAAAATCAAAATGAACCCCTCCATAAATGAGGTTTCCTCAGACAGTGACAGAACGCAACTGTTTTACACAGCAACAGCAGATGATGCACTGCCTAGGAGAAAAGCCACCAGACTTCTTTTTAGATTTGTATGTAGTGGAGGAAGATAAAGGAAACATTTTTTAATCATACGTCAACAGAAACATTTTTAACTTTATAATCTCACAAGGACTTTTTAAAAAAAGGATATTTGCTTACGTTCTGATACTGTATACAGTAGGTTCTGGGGTAAAGGAGGAGGCAGCCTTGCTCCTACAGGTGCAAGGCTGGGCACTGCACTTGTCCCAGGCTGGTCACGATTACTTATCAAACTTGACTGTGTTAGAGGTGGTCCTACAACAACACCACAGAATAGATCAACAAAGCTTGTAACTCCACAGAYAAACATACAAATAATTCAGCGCAATTTCTAAGACTGGGAGTTTTTATTGTCCCACTAAACTCAAAATAAGTTTCCTGTAGGTAAGAGTATCTACTAAGGTAAGTTACTCCCTGCACTAAACAAAAGGACAAACCTTTAAGCTATACAAATAAATTTCCTTCCCCGGAGGCTTATTATTGTTGCAGTTTGCATTAGTTGAAGCAGCAACTCCCTCAGCTCTGCCAAAGGGGCTAAGAGGAAATCAATGCTTGCTCAGAGCAAGAGCTCATACTAGCAACATTTAGATTCTAAAACAAGGGCTACAGGGCAAAAGTCYTTCACAAGGTTGTCCAGTGATTTTYGCATTTGTTTGCACCACATGTGATAAATACACTGCTAGATATTATATGGTCAAAATTGTACAAAGACTTATATGACCTGTTAAGACATAACTACAACCGGAGTGCACTACTGCTTTGCTTAATAGCAAGGCAACTCATTACTACAAAATTGCTCATGAAAAGTTTCACAGAAGATTTTCTGTTAGAAAATTAGAATTAGAAAAGCTATTKTTTGCTACACTAAGGATCATTTACCACCACAGTCATTTTAAGCTTTTGCTACTAGAATTTGTGGTAAAAATAATTCAAGGTAAGAAATGCAGGTATAAAATTTGTCATCTGAAGGTAGATATAATACTCCAGCAATCTTCACATAATTGATTACAGTCATGTGTAGTTTCACCAGAAATACCTTTGTTTTTGACAGAAAAAATAATCAAATAGCTACCCTCCTCAAAATTAAGGTTTTGCAAGTAATACATTCACCATTTCCTAAAAATATTTGTTAGAAGATTATACAACATTATTCTTTAGCCCATAGCAAGTGCTGTTTCATTAAGTCACAGCACACGTGCTACTGGAATAGAGCATACCGAAACAGTGCAACAGTGCAATATGTATCCAGTATTCTAAGATTTTCCTTTTTGTCTTGCACAGAATCACTATCCTTTAAGATGCAAAGAGACAACAAAATGGCTACAGTTTCAGGGATCACTGCTAAACTAAAAGAGGCCTTAGATGTATTAAGTATTGGCTATGGAAAAGCCACACAATTATCACGAACAGGGAAATTTATTATTGCTTTCAGGAGATTAGATCTCAATATTTTTACATTAACAAAAAAAGACTATCCAGCCAATTGACAGGCATCAAACTAAGTAACAAGACGGTCAGGTAATCTGAAAGATCTTCCCCATCCTTTAATCCCTGCATTTGTCTAATTTAATTCGGAGCACGGTGAATTTTAAAAGCTGATTTCACAGAACTTCTGGTAATATGGCAAGTAGTACAGCACTAGCAAATAAGCTTGAGGAACTCATTACTTTGAATACATAAAGAACTCTTCCAGAAATATCTGTCCCAGATCGGATCATTTGTGACATAAAATAATGCAGAACCGCATTTCAGCTTACTTGGTACAGGAAGCACAACAGGAGGTGGTGCCTGCGGGTGAGCCTGGGGAACGGGCATCCTCATATTGCGAGCTGGAGCTGGCATGGGGGGCAGAAGCATACCAGGAGGAGGAGGAAGGCCCAGAGGCGGTGGAGGAAAAGGGATCATGCTTGGCAAGGACACTTCATCCACTACTAACGGGTCATTTCCGTGATCAAACTGGCAAAGATCGCCAAGCACACAAAACCCTCGCTCTGCAAAACAAAACATTTGATTATGTTTTTATATAAAGATCAGAGGGAAAAAAAAAAAAAGAATCCAAAACTGCATTATTAGGCAAGGTTTCAGACTAAAATTGTAATCGGAACAACCTTCCATAATGGCATACAAACATACATACATTACAAAAGCTGGGGGGTAATGGGGAGAACAGGAAGGGAAGAAAAACATACAGAAAGACCACAGGTTTAACAATAAACCATATGAATTATAGTCTTYTTTCAGATATGCAACTGTTGAAATATTTTCCAAAGCATATACGGAATTGTAACCAGTTCCATACTCTTACTCAGGAACAGACAAATTATAAGTAAATTATTTCCAGCAAATTTACTTCTTTCCCAAGAACAACATAGGTCATACATGCATTTTTACACACAAGATACTTACATGCTACTGAATTTGGCTGCCTGCCTACACTTAGTGAAAATTTAAAGAAAAACAAGTAGATAGAATATAACTGAAATCATATACACACTCAAAGACTAGAAGAAGATTACCGTCATAATCTCGACATCTTCTTTTAGGTGGAGGGTTTCTGCCAAATGAACCAGGAGTGCTGTGGTTGTTATAAAAGTTTGACCAGCTCTCTGTTGTGTTTTCAAGATGGTGAGCAGGCGCAATTACAGTAACAGCACTGGGAATAGACTGTGCAGAGGAATACTGTTCAGTAGAGTTACTGGGAGACAAGGAAACTGGATTATAGGAGCCTTCATCATTTCTCTCAGTCTTGAATTTTGATCTCTCCCTATGCTCTGTTTAAAAAAAAAAAAAAGGGGGGGGGGGGATGGTTGTGAGTGTAAAACTTCACCATTTGTTCCACATCAGAGCCCTGAAATAATGGAGACCATCATAAACATTAGCTTAAATCTTCTGTGTAGTATGCTGGTTTTGAAAGTCTTACAAATGGGATGAGAACTAAACAAAACAGTGTTTTTACTTCAAAAATCAAACCATTTTCTTTGTAAAATACTGATAATTCCTCTGATACTTATCTCTTCCTATATTTCAATTTTCTCTTCCAAATGAGAAAGAGGAATGGAAAATTACACAATTTAAAAAAAAAAAAAAAAAAATTTCCACCAGTTCTTTTGGAACCAGCCCTAGAAGAAAAGTGCATCACATGGTAACAGCCTTCAATTACAAAGACACCTTCTCTAAAAATGTAGTAGAAAAAAAAWGTAGAAAGTAGAAAAAAAAAGGGTGTAACACTATTSCTCAAAAAATTAGCACATCTTTGAAAAAAATTCAACAGCTCTGTCAACACAGAGCAAAAGTGTATCAGCTACAAACACTCACCAGTATACCCCTGTGGATAAATTAAGACATTAGTAAAGAAGAAAACAATCCCCTAATTATTCTACTCTAAAGAATAGTACTTTAATTAACTATTTCAGCAACACAAAGTTCTCAAAATTGGCTCAAATGACTCAATGGCATCTAGAGGCTGCTAACCTAGGCCACCTGCACAAGTCACCACACATCACYGGCATCCGGCGTCCACGTGAGGTAGCAGCCTGGTACTCACCAGCACTTCTGCTCGCTTCGTGGTCTTTGCTTCTGCCCCTGCTGCGGCTACGGCTTCGACTTAGCCCTCTGCTTTTACTGCGACTTTTACTCCTGCCTCGTCGCCATCCAGACTTCTCTCTGTATAAGTCACTCCTGTCATAGTATCTGTCATAGTCCCTCCATTTTCCATCATCTCTCTTCTTTTCTCTGGTTCTAGAAAACATACTTATAAGCAATGTTTATGAGAGAGAAACCAAATTCTAAAACAAGCTGCTAATAAGTGAAGATACTCATCCTCCCCCATCCAACTCAGGTAGTGACATCACATTTGAGAAGGACGTTTCCAAGTTATGGAGAAGAACAAAGAATGTCAAAGTTGAATTGCTCATTCACAGAAAGCAGAGAGGGGAGGACCAAGAAGAACCAAGAAGATGAGAAAGAGTTACAGAAAACCAGAACAGAACAAACTTTGAAAACACATATTAACTCTGCAATCCTCCTCCTCCTGCTCCCCTCAAACAACCAACTGTCCCCCTCAACACACAAACCATACAAACACACAAAGAAAGAAAAACTATTGAGGATTSTAACATATGTGATAAACACAGAAATACACAGCACATAAAGAATGGGAAAAATAGCACATTTTTAATGGAACCACTACCTTGGAGGTAAGAATAAAAAGTTAAGTATAGCAAAGCCAACAAATAACAAAGGAGATCCTAGTATCTCAGTTCTAGAGTACCACTAACCTCTGTTCGCTGGAATCTGTACGGCTTCTCTGTGGGCTGGAATACTTCTTTTTCTTGCTTTCTCGCTCTTCCTCAAGTGGTTCTTGAAAATTCTGTGTAAGAGACAACCACCTATTAAGCACGTTCGGTGCGCTTTCCACAACAGAACACAGTACAGTGTTGTTTCTGTTGACTGATTTTGATCTATGATTATTTGTCACCTTCATGACCTTCTGCCAGCCTTGATACTGGACTCCAGTATTAAGGACTGGACTCCACAAGACTCCAACCAACTCCAGCCTTATCTTCCCTTCATTTTATTTCATACTCAAACACAAAATTCACAAATCTGATCACGCAGAACATTTTTGCTTCTTCCCCATCACTTAAACCCTTCCAAATCACAATCAGCTGCACAGAGAACAATAAAGATCACTMGTCACAACGAAGTGAACTTTGCTTTTGCACCTCTCCTCAAATTCAATTTGAGAATTGGAAGCAGGTAGACAGAAAATTGGATGTTACCTCCTCCTTGACTTCTTCTTTCTCCTGAGCTGCAGGCTTCACTTCTGCTTTTGCTGGTTCAAGAGAAGGGAGATAACTCTTCGTGTACAGACTTTCAAAGAGTTTATCTACAAAACCTGAAGTTTCTGGGGATACAGAACACAAGGGAACATCATTACACTTTGATTTAAGATATCACCAGGAATGGATTGTCCAGAGAAGTCCGTGAAGCAAGCCACCTGGAAGAATTGAGTACAGCAGCAGCMTTTTAAATTAATGAACATTAATTCTATTTAAGGAAATGGAATTACATTTGTGGAATTTGAAGATGTTTATTGGTTGGGTCAGAGACAGAAAAGAAGCTTTTACTTCAATTGCACTTACAACCTGGAACTCTTCTAAGAGGCAAGTGTGAACTTAAGGTCAAGGAACAACTTTAGAGTTGCTCCAATTGCTAAAATTAGCAGCCTCAGACTGCAATTGCAGTGAGACGGTACATCATTCATATAATACTATCCATCATTTTCAAAGTAGATGCCAAATGAATACACAATAATTTGCCAACTCAGAGTCAGAATTTCAAGAGCTTAACCTCGATAACTTGACCCGAATTGCAATGAGAAGCTCACCATATGCCTGGAAGGCCAACACAGGTCACGTTTTCAAAAATTATCAAACACATGCCAGAGAATTTTCTGGCAACATGACCAACATATAAAAATAAAACCAAGTGCTGGGCTAGGGCTTTTATGAAAGGACTTATCTACAACTGGAGATGGTGGGGAGAAAGAAAGGGGGGAAAAAAAACTATACGAATTCATCACTTCATTTTGTGATTAAAAGGGTCTTAAAGATCCTTACTTCTTTACACTTTGTAAGAAATACTAAGTTTAAGAAAAAAGGAAGTATCCCAAAGGAAACGGTGGTATATCGCTCCTCTCCATCCTATGAAATACACTGCAATGATAAAGTATTTAATAGCACGGTACCTTTCTGCAGAAAGACATCCAGCTGATCAGCACAGAAAGCTTTGAGCTCTTTCTCTGGTTTGTCTTTCTTGACTAGCGCCACAACATAGTTGGCTAAGGCTGAGGGGTCTGCATCACATCTGGTGAGAGAAAGAATTATTCTTCACAATCACATAGCCCGACTTTGCTGAAGAAGGCCCAAAATCACCACTAAATGCTRTGTTGTAGCATCACCACTAAAGAAAACCTGGCAATGGATGCTTTTCTGACATCTAGTACTATAGACAGCTGCACTGAGAACGATGGGGGGACAGCACCCAGAACTGCCCCTCAAATTACAGCAAGACACTCTAACTGCCTTGGAACAATCACCCTCTCCTGTACACACACACGCCTACCCACAATGTTCTCATTCTTTTGCTCCTTCCTAAGGTTTACTTATCAAGTTCCAYCTTCCTTCTTTATAAAAAGATCACAATCTGGGGCACTCGAGCAAGTGCCACAGCTCCTTCACTTTCTCTAAGTGCAGTAACCACGATGCAACCATGAGAGCAACCACCAGAAATCCACTACATAATTATTTGAAAGCAGAAACATCACTACATATGCTCATTAAAATGGTATTACCATGAAAAGCAGTTCAAAAAGATACATCTGAAAAGTATATTTTAAATATGCAGAGATACGTTCCGTACAGCTTAATTTACTATGTATAATTGTTTTTTTCCCCCCAGAATGATTTCCTAGCCTATAGATCACACAATAATCCTCTAACTCCTCTAAAATGCTTGAAGAGATGCAATTACTAATATAGATTCATTTTACTCACTACTCARGCCCTTATCTAGTTTCATGAAGGCCAAAGAGAGCCAATTCTGTTCAAACAGCTCTCCATTAATCTTTAAATTAGACATTGCTTTAGATTCTATTATTCAGACACTGGAAAAAAAAAAGAAAAATAATAATAAAAAACCCATACAAATTATGAACTAGATTAACAGCATTAAAGCATTATGAAACAACAGCTCTTTGTGTTGCTACTCATTGAAAAGATGCAAACATGATGGTAGGTATGATCCAAAACCAATCTGATTAAAAGTATTGTGAATACCAACATTTAAAGAGGAAATTGTGCATTTAAAGAATGTTAACTACAAAACTATAAAGAAATAGCACAAAACCGCATAGACCTCAAAGTAATTTCAAGTTTAAAAAAAAAAAAAAGACACACACAACTGGCTGAACAAAACAGCCTTCCAATACAAGCAGCTCTGAAGTATTTTGCTTACTCGCTTCCAACAGCTGATGAAAACCACCTTAAAATATAGCAATTAACTACAAAGAAACCACCAATTTACAGATTTTACAGCACAAAAAACTGTACTTACTATATCCTATACTAGTAGTCACGCGCAACTAAAAACTATAAAACCTCAATTTAAAATCAAAGACATGATCCATCACATATTAACATACTTATTAGTTGAACCTGCCCCATTCATTTCTCCTCATATTAATTTGTCCTGGGCATTCACATCACACTAYGGGAACACGCACTTCTCCAAGTTGACCATCTCCCCATTCTCCCTCCTTAACGCCAAACATCCAGCACCCACCAGGGAATTTTGTGACCSACACGAACCCCCTCTGCAACCCGACTCGCTGCCCATCAGCTCAAACACCAAAACGACTCCAGAGAGCAAGAGACGGCGCAGCGGGACGGGCAGCAAAGGTGCCAGAGCGAAAGCTGCACTCCTGTCTAGATGGACTCCTGCCCTAATGGATCTTCGGGGGCTTGGCTGAAGAGAAGGGCTCTTTCAAACCAAACAAAACCAGAACAGCAATGCCATGAGATACCTGCCTAAAAGTGAAACCACGGCGCCCTTCTCCATTTTCTACCCCAAATCCACCCTCCCACCTTAAGGACCGTCATCTCTTTTTTTTCAGCTAGTTCAGAGTTTTTGTCTAATTCAGAGTTTTGCCTTAGATGTTTCTTGGGAAAAAAGTCTGCGTGCCSGAAAACTACATGAGATACTCAAACACTTCATGTTTCCTACTGCATGCATCGGCAAGACGAAATCACGTTGCTCTGGTATTTTGTAGTTATGTGGCACGAACTACACCTCGCCAACAGTTTTAACTCCCGGAACGTCTTTAGGAGGACGCGAACGAGGGGCGAGCAGCCGCAGCTCTGCCCTGGCGCGAAGGTCCCCGCGCGCCGCCGCGGCTCCGGGGCGGC